GGCACGCACATATATATTTTTTTTATGTTCTACCGCCATTCGTTTCCTCTAGTTCACCAGAAAAAGTACCGATGAACCACGGTTAACCGATGAAATTTATAATGAACTGCAGTATCAATTAAAATCGGCAGTTTACCGCTAAAAGTAATCTGATTTTTGTGACTTGGGTATCAAATCATGAATAACATTATCTTTTCTATCCAATTTTCCAACATACAAAGTTCAAAATTGAAAGTTGAAAACGGAAATCTTTTTCGTAAGATTGTTGCTACTATAACATGAATGAGATTGAATGAGTTTGAAATACAATCAAACTGAATTGAGCTAATTTCACATTCATTTGTTTAGTCCGAATTCAAGAAAATATGTTTTTCATGATGGATTAGCATTTTTCCTTGAATTCAGTGTTCAGATAAATTCTTCAATCCTTGACTAACATCAAACTGAAAAAAAAGACTTTCTTGTTAATATTTAGATCTAATACCATCACTTTTATAAGCATTCGTTTTTTTTTTATTTATATTTTCTTTTTCTGCTTTAGATGTAAACTTCATATACAAAGGCGGCGATTCGATAAATGATTGTGAAAACAACTTATTTAGAATATGTATCTGTACATAAGAACTTTTTTTTCGATTGTACTCTGGTTTTAGTGAGTGATAACGTGTTGTATTAGTTTTTTTTTGTATTTGATTAATGTAGAATCATGTAAGTGTTCTAGTTTTACGATAAAATATTTGATCAATTACAATTAGCAATAGAAAATGTCAAATACATTTTATAAAATTGAGATTGAATGACTCAAATCACGTCTATAATTGTGAGTATAAAGGATAATAATCAATGCAAAAATCACGATTTATCGGAAAAATCGTCAAAATTATCGAAAAAAATCAGCAATTAATCATGTTTCAGCGTACGATTATCGTTTCGATATATCGCGATTAATCGGCAATTTTTTTAACGATTTTGAGGATATGGGACACAAAACAAAACAACATACGAGCACATATTCATTTCGATTATCTTATACTCGTATAATTCAAAACGTTTTTTACTCATTTCAGTAGACATCAAAACCAATAAATTCTATAGAAATGATTGTCGCAATAAAATCAATAAATTATGGTAAATGGTTAATATTCTTATTATATTTACTGACGTTGATTAATGTATTTTATTCAAAACACGTGTCAAATGAATTCTATTCTATATTTTTTTTTTGAAATAAATTACAATAGCATAAATAATAGGCTAAACAATAGTCAAAAGTATTTTCAGAGATAATACATTCTATTATAAAGCATGCGAACAAATTATTCATCAATGTAATCAAAAAATACTATATCCATAAGCTTTACTGTGACAACAGAAAAAATAAGAAGTCTCAGATTAAAATTTCAATTAATTAGATCAATATTTTATATATATCCAAATCTTCAAAAAAAAATATTCTTAATCAAAGATTTTGAATAAATATATATTAAAGAATTTACTATAATATGTATTCTGTTTCGTGTAATCAATATTTGTTTCAAACAGATTTTAATTAATAGAAGAAAATACAAAGGTATATTGATATTATTTTATAATTTCCTATCGAGAAATTTTATTTATTTTCATAGAAAGAAATCAAAATAGTTCTAATTTGATAGGCATCTTTTTTTTTGAAATAATTGTTGATCTATCAACCACATCAGTTCTTTTCTACATGCACTACTTATTTTGTATTGATCAAGCCGACAAAACTGACAATGAAAGATGCCTCTGGCAGATAAAATTAATACTTGTCAGTGATAATTAGTGCCGTAACAAGGATGTTGACAATGGGATGGGAGCTCAAGTTATAGGGCTCTGTCTGTAGTAGAAGCGAAGATCGTGATCCACACCCTTATATTATGATCATTTTGCGTTCAATGGTTTTTGTTCAAGTGCATTCGCTGGAGAGAGTACTTGAAGTGTGTCATCTTCAATGATAATCTAATGCTTATCATCAATCAAGTTTATTGTCTTTCACTTCCCTCAAAAAAAAACTCAAGCTTCAGAAAAACGCATAGGTCAAAGTGCGGATCACTTTGGAAAAATGAGAATTCATAGAAGACAGGAATATGACCATATACAACAGCAAATTTCAACCATCTATGACTAACAAGTGATAATCAAAATACAATCCACGTAAATTGAAAGTCTATCCTTTGAGTTTTTGTGTTTTCATTACCATAACTTGTTTGTTTTAAAACTTACTATATATAGAGAGAAAGCCAAGAACTTGCTGCATCATTTGGTATTTTTACTTTGAACATTAAATGCAGTTTAAAATGTAAAAAATGTATTGAAAGAAAAAGGAAATTTTTTTAAATTTATACGGTGTCCACAATGCTGTAACATTTCTTATTTCGTGTATATTTCGGCTTAGATCATTGATAAAACTTTGAATTTGCTTTTAAAAGATGCGTCGTTGAAAGCCCTACAAAACTTGTATAGACCAAAGCCTAGAGCGAACCGGAAAAGTTCTCGAAATATTTTCTATATGATGGTAAGTAATACTGCTACCCATAAGCATGGGCGGCGCAAGCTCAATTTTTAGGGGAAGCAATAAGCGTTAAAATGAGACAGAGTTGGAGTCGGCTCGGCCGATCAGCGCCGGTTTTTATTGGTTTAAAAAATTTCTTGTAGTATGCTATTTTCCATTGATAAAAAGTGTCGAGACCAAGTTTAAACGCATTTATCAAAATAGTCAAACAGTATTGTTTCAGAAATTATCAGTTTTATCTTTTGCTGCTTGCCTATACTTTTTATTTTTTTAATCGACCTGTGTTATTTGCGATTAACTTCTGAACTTATCTTGTTGATGTTTTGTTGGAGACTAGATTTGAGTTTCGACCGTCGTCTTCAGAGGAACACTAGGTTTATTAACAGTGCGCGCGTCGTGTCAACTTTTTGTATAGTTCTCGCATCGTGGCAGCGGTAGATTCTCAGCTACGATGGGCATCTATATTTTATATTCATTTACATTTTATTAGTGAGCAGAAAAAATTGCAGAAACTTGTTTCATGTTTTCTCAAAGCTTGAGTTCGATGTGGCGTCTCCAACGGCAATCTATTATATTAGGAGATAAAGTCAAATAGGTTTTTTCTTAAAGAGAAGGCTCAAAAATGAGTATGATATATAGACAGAAATTGTTATAACTACAATAAATAATGAGATATGAAGCTGAGTTTTTTTTTTCTGTATACATAACTGAGCATCTCGTATGATGTGCATAATAATAATTCTGTCCAATAACATGAAGATCCTGTTCTGAATGGGGAGAAGGATGCTTAAACTTTTCTTAGTCTCCCAGTGACTTCTTGTAGTCATAATACGTGGTTGAACAACGTTCGACAGTCGGATCTGTTCCCTCGTAAGTATAGAATAATCCTGCTGATCATACGATAATACTTTTCAAACTAAACTAAATCTAATTACTTAAGTTTAATATCTGCATTAAATCTTTCAACATATTACTTTTAACTTATATCCTCTGTTTTAGTTAATAATTTTCTGTTTATTAGAGATGATAATGTAAAAAAGATTTATCTCATTATTCTTTATTTACAAAAAGACATAAAAGCCATAAGTTACAACAGACATTTTTTTTGTATTTAACAGTGAAAATAAATGAGAAAATTGTTGATGCATTTCTATTGAACAAAAAATACAAAATAATAAATTGGAACACAATATGTAACATAAAAAAGTTAGCTAAAATTTTGGGCTAGGGAAGATTGAGCCCCCTGAGTAATAAAATACATACTTCAAAAATCTCGCTAGGAAGGATTCGAAGGTAGAAGTTAAACTCTCTTAGTACACAAAACCCATGTTTCAAAAATTTCTCCAAGAGGAACTCGAAGGTTCCTAGGGGAACTGAACCTCCTCTAGCACCTCTGACCCCGTCACTGTATTGAATGCCTGCATATACTCTTGTTCGCATGGTGTACGGCGAAGAGAAAAAAATATACGTTGATAATTTATTCATGTTTTGTTGTATGTCTGTATACAAGCTCTACATGTATTTTTTCTCGTTTGTCACATTTGGTGATGGGTTATAACTTGGAATAATAAGAGAACAACATGTTATTTATTAAATTGATCAGTACATTTGATTAACTTTAAATATTCTAATAAAAAAAAATCATATGAAAGATAGTTAAACTATCTCTTAGTTTTGTGTATTTAATTAAACTATAAATAGAAATAACGGCAAAGATATAATATTATAGCATCTGATTGATTTTTTTTTTCTTAATTTATTCCAAAAAATATAAACAAAAATAAATACAATCAATTTTATACAAATACATTATAATTTCTTTCGTTTTCAATTAACCGAATACAAACAAATGTCAAATGAAAAATATCAATCGACATATTCTATTCATAATAATATTAGATCAAAAAAAATTCTTCTAGTAATTTACAAAATTTCTAAAAAAACCTGAAAACTTCATATATACATATTCATTTCAGACAGATATTTTGTTTGATTGTTTTATTTTTTTGTTCTCAAGTTTTAAGTGTATAAAAATTCGAATAATTTTCAATTCTATCAAGAATAAAGTTGACAAATTTTCTAATTCATCGCCGAAAGAAATATTTTTCATATCATTTTCTTTAGTCAACTGTCACTTGTTTTGTTCGAATTAGTACATTATTTATCGACATACAATAATACATTTTGACAAATCATGCTTTTTGCTTTTTGCTTTGCATATTGAATCATCTAATTATGTTTGCAGAAAAAAAAACACACAATGATACACACGGATGTTTGATAGAAAAGAAAAAAAAAAAAGTACATTTTTTTATTTTGTCACATGCTACATTCGCTTCGCATTTGTGCAGCTGAATATTGCATATAAAAGTTATTTTACATATCAAAAGATTGTAACGAGCATTCAAAATCAGAAGAGAGAACCTTATTCATACTGAAAGTAGTAACGTCTAGAGAAAAAGAAGCAATGGGAGGTGAAGACGATGGAAGATTTGTATGTGCTCATGGAACTGTAATGATTCTTGCATGGATGATCTTTGGATCAACAGCTGTTCTATTTGCACGTTATGGTCGTAAGATACGCTTTGGTTCAAAGGAGAAGTTATTAGGTGATCAAATATGGTTTCAAATTCATCGTTTCTTTGCTTGTTTAACAACAGTATTGACTCTACTTGGATTTTTCTTTATTTTGATATATTTAAATGGTACATGGGTAGGAATCGATGAAGGTCGTGGATTTGTTCATTCTATTTTTGGTGGTATTGTTGTCTGTTGTGCACTTATACAAGCATGGATGGCACTTTTTCGTTGTCATCCGGATAGTACATATCGTTTTATTTATAATTGGCTTCATCGATTAACTGGAATATTGGCTTATTTTCTTTCGATACCAACTATTTTTATTATTATTACAACTTTTGATGAAAATCAAATTGGTATGATTGTTATTCTTTCACTTTGGTCTGCCTGGATTGTTATAATTGTTATTATTTTTGAAATTATTCGAAATTTTGTTGGAAAATCATCTTCAAATGTAATGAGAACGAGATATGGACCTGAACTAGATGATCTTGATCAATTACCGCATGTCAATATCGAAAATGATGATAATGATATGACACATTGGAATAATCGGATATTAATTTTATTTCTATTACATATTGTTGTTTCCATTGCTCTGGCTATTGCACTTATTGTTCTCATTTGGAAATAGACTCATTCTCTGTTTTTCTTTCTTTGAACTTATAGAATAATAGAGAAAAAGAGAAACGAATTTTTTTTTCAATTTTCTATCGATGTCATATTCTAATATAATTTGATTGGATATGGACTTATGTATAATTATTTTCATATATTTTTATTCTATATTTATTAATAGAAAATAAAAATTATTATATACTGAAAAAATTCAAATCAATATTTCACTGCGTAGAAAATCAATTCCACGTCTCTTGCAGTATCTTAACTCTATCGTCATAATTTGAGATAAAAGTATTCACGAAGAATATACTCTCGTACTTTTCTTTGCAATTAGAAAGAATTAAAGAGCGTATGATAAATCTGAAGAAGAATATTAATTAGAAGATTTTCTGGTGATCGTAATGAAACACACTTGTTAAATGCAATTTATATCGAATTTGATTGAGAAGTGCATTTCATATTCAATCTTGAAGTTATCGCTCGATTATGAAAACATCGGATGTCGATTTCATTTATAATCAAATCTCAATGGATCATTATTGACTATAGGCTTTCATTTTCTATTAATAGGCTAATTGCTGATGTCGTAATAGCAACGGAGAATCCATGATGTGGAGGTGAATGCCACCGGTTATTTTTATGTCTCAATAAAATGAAATATGCTTTGTAGATATTTGAAAAAGAGAGCTGCATAAAAGAACCAAACATTTTTTCTATTGATAGTACATGTGCACAAATATATCTCACTGTGTATAGAGTAATGAAGATTTGTGAAAAAAAAAACTTATAGAACATATAAGTGATCTCGATGATTCTTTTTTTACTACAATTATGAATTCGTTTTCATCCAGTGTAAAGTATCAATAGAACTGTAGATATATTTCATTCTTCATTAAATAATGTACATTTATGCTTTCAACTTACTCTTGTTTGCACAATCGACAAGGCTTTTACAGTTTGCGACAAGTGACACTTGATAAACATTAATAGAATAAACAAATGACTTTATTCATTCTATGAAATTTTAAAAAAATCAAGCATAAGAATTGTGATTGAATAATAAATTTTCGATCAGTTATTACGACATAGATTATCAATATTTTTCACATAAAAGAAAAAATATATTGATTTATAGTAAATTCTTTCAAAAAAATTTTTATTAACAAGAAAGATAAATATTCACATGAAAAATTTTTAGAACTAAGCCCTAGTCGAATGATTTATTCAATAGTCTCGTTTATGTTCAGTGTTTTATCTAATGTGGATCCGAGGGAGTGGCATCCTCTGAAAATCGGGTTGGTTCTCAAGAAGTTTGTGATTATTGTATCATGTACTGTGTGTGCATGCTCCCAAAAAACAGCCGTTCGCTCTTGTAGAGTTTTAAATCGACTCTCCGAAAAAGAAAATCTGTAAAAAACCACTGTTTATCTCAATATCATGAATACTAATTATCATCTAAAAACTATTATTTCCCGTTGATGGACTATCATAGATCATCAATGAAATTACTTTTTTTCAGACAACAACAAAGCATACAAATAGATCAACTATTATAGACATTTGTCGTCATTTAGCAAGATAAATAAAAGATGCTCATATGTTTTGAGTATGGATGATGATCTTCTTTTCTCTAGCTCTCACACATTCTCTTCGAATGTATATGTGAGTTCTACAAAACGAGTAAATCGTCGGTTTCAATAAAAAATCGATGACATGAAGTATATGCAGATTTCTGAAATTATCAACATATGAGAAGGTTATTTCAAGTAAATTTCGATAATTACAATTACATATGAAATAATTTTGCAGGAAAATCCTCCAATTACCAATTTATAAGACAGCATTGTCTGTGAAACTTTTGAAATATCGAAAAGAAATTGAATACTAAATACTTATTCATGCCTTAGTAGATTCGGAAATTTCCTTTCTGAGAAATCTCAATATTACTGATTTTAATATATAACTCAAGAATATACAAGAATATGATTTTTTTTGATAATATCAGAACTTATTGTAAATTCAAGCTAAGAACGCATTGACATTGTTTGAATATTTGAAGCTCATAATTGAATAAATATATGCACATAATAGACCTCAAGAACGGTCATCCGATCTGACCCAGAGGGATATTTCTTCCGGGGCGTAAAGAAAAAAAATCTAATTTTAATCGCTATTTTTCCAAGTAAAAATTGATTAAAATGGTACTTGTTGAATTCGATAAAAGTCTGATTTTTCGTCTTTACTTGAATTTTACACCTTACAACTAATAACAATTAAAAATCTTTATTATGTAAACGTTTTCAAATTTTTATTAAGCTAATAAATAAAAGCAGTGCATTTATTTCATTCGATGACATTCTTCATCCATACCTAAAGCAAAATACATTAGGTGACATTGTGTACTGAAATTAACAGCGTAACTGAACAACAGACATTCTACTCGTGAAAAATTTTTATTAATAAATGATAACCTTCAAGAACTTGAAATATTTACGAATGCATCTTGCTCTTTCGGTTCGATAAGTACTTTAACTTATCTCTCATATTATAGTGTCAATCTGAGCTAAGCCGGATCAGACTATCAAAAAGTAGTTTGATTTGAAGATGTGACACATAATAAAGAAAGAATTTGAAGAAAATCTCACACTAATATCTAACATTTTATTAGTTTCATTTCCTTAGTTTATCGTGTATATCAGAATTGAAGAAAACTAAACCATATTAGCCAAATTAGATTTTCAAATAAAAAATAACGATATTCATAGTACATTTGCTTGAACTCAAAATTTTTCTAATGAATTCTTTGTTTCTCCTCGAAATGTTATTCCTATAAAATTAGACTATTTTTTATGCTTATGGCATGAATATTTTTAAAGAGAAAGTATTTGGCTCTTTCGAATTGATGGTAACTTTAATTCTACTCATCAAGATCTATCTATTTTAGACTTGTAACAAGTTCTGCGAAAGCAGATCAATTTAAATAATTGAAACGATTAGTTTCCTTCGGCGTTTTTACCGATTACAAAAAAAAATATATTCATTTATATTGTTTTTTTTTAATCTTTATAAATCGAGAATTTTATTTGATAAAAGCCTTTCAATTATTCTATAAAATCAAAATCAACAGAAAAAATACCATAGAAATTTTAAAATCATGTTTCGAAGTATGACACTTCTTTTTTTTCCTATTATAAAGTAAACATCAGATGAGAAGGAATTTTTTTTTCTATGAATTAACGAAACAAAAAAAATAATAAATTAATCGATATTAAAAAAATTTATTCAATAGTTTCTAATAGAAGATTTTTTAAACTTTTCAAAGGTATTTGTTTCGAAAATTTACTTTTTTTTTTTCTATTAGAAAAATTTTCTTTCATCTGTTTTTTATATATTTATAACGTTATTTGCCATATTGGTTGTTATGCTTTTCAACCTCCTTATCAAACCTCTCCAATGATTATAAAATATTAACCAATCCCCATTCGGTCCATGTATTTCCATGAAATCTTCTATGATTATATTGTTTCTTCGACTTTTATTTGCTTATATGTTTTGATCAATTTAATTTTGAATTCTTTTTCTTAGATAAATTTTTGTTTTTCAGTCTCTTTCTAGAAAAAAAAGAAAACAATAAAACTTCATCATGAAAGCTAAAGGTAATCTTCGTGAATATCGTATAATCGGTCGTAAACTTCCATCAACAACTTTAAAAAAACCACCACTTTATGAAATGCATATTTATGCACCAGATGAAGTTCAAGCTAAATCACGTTTTTGGTTTTTTTTACGTCAACTTAAACGTGTTAAAAAAAGTGCTGGTGAAATTGTTGATTGTCAAATGATTAATGAACGTAAACCATTAACAGTTAAAAATTTTGGTATTTGGCTTCGTTATGATTCACGTTCAGGTACACATAATATGTATCGTGAATATCGAGATTTAACACGAGCATTAGCTGTTACACAATGTTATCGTGATATGGGTGCTAAACATCGTGCACGACCATCAACAATTCAAATTATGAAAATTAAACGTTTACCAGCTAAAGAATGTCGTCGACCACATGTAACACAATTTCATGATTCAAAAATTAAGTAAGATGATAAAAAAAAATAAAAAAAAAAAATAAAAGTGAATAATTTGGTTTTTTTTTTAAAGATTTCCAATGGTTAATAAGGCAACAAAACGTTTACATCATCCACGTTTTACAACACGTCGTCCACATACTTATTTTTAAAACAAGCAATACGAATATCAATCGATAATGCCTAGATGTCTTTTTTGATGTATTGCATCCGTTTTGAAAATGAAAAAGAATAAAAATATAAGAACAAGAATTTTTATTATTATTGTTATTTTTTTTTTTCTTCAAAAACAACAAGAAAAAAAACGTTCTTCTTCTAGATAATGAAAATGTACTGGATTTAAAAGTGGCTATTGACCATCGATTAAAACTGTGTCAATGTCAACCGGACGTTCAAGTACAAGTACTCGAACATCATCAATGACACGTCCACTGCCACTAATTAATACTACTTCAGGCGTTTCAGCAATAACAAGATCAATTCAAACTGGTAGTATGAATGTAACAATTAATACAGCTCGAACGAGACCATTAACTGGAGTTCGACAAGGATCAACAGATAGAACAAATATGTCAACACGTAATAACATTCCAGCAACAACATCTTTAAGTCAACGAAGAATGTCAAATGATTTGACAAGATCGAGACGATCTAGTCAAGATAGATCTGTAAGTCAAAAAGAAGATAAAAAATATGAGTTTGACATTTTCTTTGAACAGACAAGAAACTATTGACTACAATGAAGCTTCTTTGAGAATTCTAGGATGCACAATTAGAAAAGCGAAAAAAGATTTCCCACTATTTCTGAAAAAAAAAAACATATTTTTCAAGCAGTAGGTGATGGAAATCATCAAACACTTTGGCTAAAGACAAGATATTAAATAAAAAATCATGTCGTTTGTGAAAAATCAGACTACAAGCCATCAT